CCCTGCCCCGGGGGGTGCTGGGCTGCGTTGTGGCTGATGCCATGCCCTCGGGAGGCCCCAGGGCGGTGGCCTGTGGGGATGCGCCAGTCTCCACCTGGACAGTGGAGGCTATGGAGTTCCTCAGCTGCTTGCATGGCAAGGAGGGGTCTGGCCTGGTGCGGGAGGTGATGGCGCCGCAGCTCATAGTGCTTGAGGTGCCCCAGCTTGTGGCCCAGATGCATCGCCTGGGCCTGGCCACGCTGCGGCCAGGTCTACCGTGTGTTCCTGCTGGATGAGGGCTGCACGGTGGTCACGTCTGCCCGGTACCTGGCGCGGGGCTGCAAGAAGCTCTTCCACCTGCCCCCGGGGGTGCTGGGCTGCGTTGTGGCTGATGCCATGCCCTCGGGAGGCCCCAGGGCGGTGGCCTGTGGGGATGCGCCAGTCTCCACCTGGACAGTGGAGGCTATGGAGTTCCTCAGCTGCTTGCATGGCAAGGCGGTGTCTGGCCTGGTGCGGGAGGTGATGGCGCCGCAGCTCATAGTGCTTGAGGTGCCCCAGCTTGTGGCCCAGATGCATCGCCTGGGCCTGGCCAGGCAGGTCACTCCCAGCTGGTTCTGCCACCTGCTCAGGCGCTGCCTGACTTATGGCCACGTCAGGAACCAGCTCAAGCTGCAGCCTCCAGCATTTTCCTCTGTAACTTCTGCCGTGCCACAGCTTCTCCATGCTTTGGTCTCATGTCAGCCTGTGTCACCTGCCTTGGATTACTTCTACCCACAGCTTCAGTTAGGTGTGACAGAGCCTGTCGTAGTGACCCATGTCTCCGACCCGCACCACATCTACTGCCAGTTGCAGAGCCTGTCGCAGGAAATCTGTTGCCTTTCTGATACCATGCGCCACACTTATGACTGGGGGGAGCAAGATCTGTTACCCAAAGTGGGTTCACCCTGTGCTGCCCGTGGTATAGATGGCCAGTGGTACCGTGCACTCCTGCTGGAGCTTATTGCCAGGGAGCAGGACCAGCAAGTGGCTCTGGTGATCTTTGTGGACTATGGCAGGAAGGAGACTGTGACCAGAGCTAACCTGCGCCATTTGCCTGTTGAGTGTTTTCGTATGCCTGTGGTGACTTACCCATGTGCTCTTCAGGGTATCTCGCATGGGGGTTGTGGCTGGTCCCCATCGCAGATTGATGCGCTGAAAGCGTTGGTGCTAGGCAAAGGAGTGAGGGCTCACATCAAAGCCTTTAACTCCTTTGAGCATCTCTATTATGTGAGCCTATATGGGGAAAATGGCATCAACTTGAACAATCTTTTTGGGATGCAGGCTTGTTGCCTGTTCAGCAGCCATACACAGGTCATCCAGACTGAGGCTCGGGAGCAGCTGGAAGTGG